TCTTCATCTTATCTTCACTCAAGTGGTAAAGTTCTTCCAATCTATATATCTGGTCCACACCCTATTTATCCAATCCTTTATTTTTGGTACCTCCTGTTTCTTCCAAAACTTGGGTATCAATCCCTTTGCTGCATTAAGATAGTACAATAAACCATATTTTTTATATTTCTTAATCAAAAGCTTAGTACCATGGAATAGGCAAGTCTCTGGGTCTTTTGGAATATCAACCTCTATTATTTTCTGAATCATATCTACTATTTTCCCCCAATACTCTTGAATTTTAGGATACTCTCACCAAATACATTGATACATTGTACCTCTATCCCTCATCCACGCCAACATAAAGGTGAGCTATCTCCATTCAGTCTGTGTGCTACACTCGGTGTGATATACCATCTTTCCAAACATTTATAATTCATCTCTACCTTCTTCATATTTACATTTTTGTGTATTAAACTATATGTTTTCTTTTGCTTTTCCACATCCATTATTAATCCTATATCCCTTTCCCATTCTCTATAAATGGTGGACTTGTAGCTGTGATTATTCCAGTGAGAATCTTATATATTTTTGATATCCCGTGTTTCCCATCTCCCCTTGTGTCTAATAAGTGCTCAAAAGGGTTCCAATTCTCTCTTGTTCTCAATGGCCTTGGAAGCTTCCCTACAAAGTGTTTCAACTGAAAATAAAGCCAACGTCAATTTTTGTAAATATTTCTGTCTTTTTTTCCAAATCTTTAAGTGAACCTACTTCCTCTCCCACCATTACATCTCTCAACCGTACGTCTTTCTTTTTTATCCACTTCCCAGCAACACTTTATTTACCTGGAGGAAAATAATCTGTGGATCATAATGGCATTAAAAGTGAAATATATTCCCACCCTTTTTGTTTATGTAAAACATCCTCTTAACACTTGTGCTATCTGCTAATCCTCGGAATTGTGGGGGTAACCATACAATTCTACTAAGGTTTGTGTTACTTAGTGTGTTTTCTATTTTTACCCAACTTTTCACATGTGAATTATGTGTCCAATCAAAAATTCTTGTCAGTATTACTGAGTTATAGTACCTTTTTAAGTCTGGAACTCCCAGTCCACCTTTCTCTTTATTTCTACTTAAGATTGTATAACTTATTCTAGGTTTTTGTTCCTCCAAATAAATCTTGTTAACATTTTTTTAATTATTCTAAAATATTCTTCTGGTATTTTGATTGGTATCATTTGGAATCTATATAGAATTTTTGGAACAATTACAATTTTTATCAGATTTATACGACCTATCCATGACAGAGTTCCCCACCTAGTTTTCTTAGTTCATCCTTAATCTCATTTAATAATGGGATATAAGTTGATCTATATAAATTCTTAGAATATACAGTTAATTTTATACCTAAATATTTTAATTCTTTTTCTCTCCATACAAAGGGAAATTCCTCCTGTAATATATTTTTCTCGCTGTTTAAAAGATTTATATTTAAAATCTCCATTTTATTGGGTTAATTTTTAAGTTTGACATCTCTCCATATTCCCTCAATGATTTCATTAAGTTTGGTAATGTTATCATTGGGTTTCCCACATAGAACAACATATCATCTGCATAAGCTGCCACCTTATGCTCTATCTGTCCTTTCCTAATCCCTTTTATATCTATGTTATTCCTTATTGTAGTCAGCAAAGATTCCAAAGATAGAACGTACAACAGTAGAGACAAAGGACATCCCTGTCTAGTTCCATTCTGCATTCCAAAGCACTCTGACAATTCCCCATTAACCATGACTGCTGCAGAGGGTTGACTATATAATTTCCTTATACATTCTCTTATTCTGGGTCCCATCCTCAATATTTCCAGCGTATCCAACATACAACCCAATCCACTCTGTCAAATGCCTTTTCTGCATCTATTGAGAGGACCACTGCCGGGATTTTCTCTCTCCTACTTTTTTGTATGAGAAACAAAGATCTTAATCCATTGCCTCTACCCTCGCTTCCTGGGACGAAACCTACCTGATCCATATGTATCCATTCCGGCATCAAGTCTCTTAACCTATTTGCCAGAACTTTTGCATATAGTTTGGTATCTGTGTTCAACAAGGAAATCGGTCTATAGCTTGCACATTGAGTATCATCCTTACCTTCCTTATTTACATTGTGGATTAATACATTTCCTTTACATACTGCACTCAGAAGGTGCCTCTCTTTTTTCTTTTCCTTTGCCTACAGAGCTGGCTCACTCTAAGATGGCTGCCATCTGAAGTGGTTACTGGTCATAGACTTTATTTGGAATATGAACATATAGCACTAGACATTAGCCATTAGTGCGCTGAGATCTCTCTTTTATTCAGGGATGCCCCTTATTCCCGTTATTATTTGTAATATCATTGGAAACTTTACTGGCGACGGTAAAAAAGAGTGTATATTTAGGAGGAATCAAGATAGATGACATAGAGCATAAGGTAGCTGCATATGCTGATGATATTTTGTTTTATATTGTGAATCCTGGGTTAACTTTGCCTAACCTAATGGGATTATGTTTATTTCTTTGTTTGTATTGGTATGATACAAAAAGTGGAGATGGGCAACCCCTGGGAGCCTGGCAGCACAGAGTAAATTTTTCAGTGCACACGCACACTCAAGAGTTGTACGCATAAAATGAAACTAGCACTGCTAGAGCAGCTAGGGCAATGCACAGGCAGCTCTGGCTGTAATATTTCCAAATGATAATGTGACAGTTGACTTGGTGCATGTACACTGCAAGGTTTACGCTAAGTTGTCAGGCTTCAGGGATGCCCACAATAGAGAGGAAAGGTGATGGCTAGAGGCTGGATTTTCACATAAGGGAAACCAGTGATCCACCAAGCCAAAAGATAAGGTACAATTTATTTTAACCACTTGTCCTCCGGAAGATTTACCCCCTTCCTGACCAAGCCATTTTTTGCTATTTGGCTGCACTATGTCATGCAACAATGTACCCAAACCGAGTTGATGTCCTTTTTTCACACAAATAGAGCTTCCTTTTGATGGTATTTGATGAACAATGGGCTTTTTATTTCTTGTGATATAAGCAAAAAAAGATCAACAATTTTGAAGAAAGAATACATTTTTTACTTTCTGTTATAAAAAATATCCAATAAACTTCAATTTTGTCATAAATTTAGGCCAAATTGTATTGCTACATTTCTTTGGTAACAAAAATCCCAATAAGTGTATATTAATTGGTTTGTGTGAAAGTTATAGCGTCTACAAACTGTAGTATAAATGCAATTTACGCAGCTTTTACTTTCTGACTGCCACATCACATTTCTTGAAGTGCTAAAATGCAAGGGCAGTACACCCCCCCAAAATGACCCCTTTTCGGAAAGTAAATGCCCTAAGCTATTTGCTGAGAGGTATGTTGAGTCCAAGGAAGATTTTTATTTTTCCACAAGTTTTTGGAAAATGACAAAAAAAAAAATTTTTCATTTAAATGGTATATTGCTTATACATGCCATGGGTATATTTGGAATTACACTTCAAATATATACTGCTACTTCTCCCCAGTATGGGGACTTTTTGGGAGCCTGAAATTCCAGGATAGCACAAAACCCCCACAAACGACTCCTTTTCAGAAAGAAGACACCCCAAACTATTTGCCGAGAGGCATGTTGAGTCAATGGAAGATTTTTTTACCAGAAGTTTTTGGAAAATTACCAAATTTTTTTTTTTTTCTTTTACACAAAGTCGTCATTTATATTGCTATTTCTTTTTGAAAATCTGTAGAAACAATATACAGAAATACAGGAAACATAACCCACCCACATGATAAGTTGTAGTAAACAATTAGTGTCATGGAATGTGTAGTTACATAATAATATATCGACCAATAATGCAGTGAACAATAAACTGGAAACCCCAGTAGGGTTTGGTCGAGTTTAAGCAACTATTCCATCAATCAAAAGGTGTCGGTATTATCATATAAACAGTTAACAAAGGTAGAGAGACCGGAAATTAAAGAAAGAACTGAAAAAAGAGGGTAAAGAATAAATCTAAAAAGAGGAAAAAGAGAGAAAGAAAGAAAGAAAGAGGGCCAGCCAAAAGCCCATTAAATAACAGAAAGATACCTAATCCATGGTTCCCCGGAGTTCTCAAATTTAGAGGTATTATTGTTAATTATACTAGTAAGTTTATCATTAATCATAATCCAATTAAGTTTCTGTTTGACCAAGTCCAGCGGAATTGTTGACTGTTTCCAACGTTTAGCTATAGTAATTCTTGCCGCCAACAGAATATAAAGAATTAATTTAACTGAATCCTTAGGAATATCAGTGGGCAATAGATTAAATAAGGCTATTTCAGGGGATCTGCATATATTAATTCTCATTACCGAGTGAGTTAAATAAACGGATCCAAAATCTATTTACCACAGGACATTTCCACCATATGTGGAGCATAGTACCCTCTTGTCTGCAGTGTCGAAAACAGCTGGGTGACACAGATGGGTACATTTTAGCAAGACGTGTAGGAACTAGATACCATTGAAGAAGCGTTTTGTAGTTAGATTCAATAAGTGTGGTGCTAATCAAGATTTTAGAGCATTAGCTGTAGTCTGTCAAGTGTCCAAATCTAGAGAACTATTCAAATCCCTTTCCCACTGTACCATATAAGAAAGTTTAATATGTGGATCAACAAGGGAAGCATAAATATTAGATCCCAGTAGCCCCGCAGGAGATTTCTAGAGGGGTACGTATACAGGGTTTTGTTAGTAATTTGAGTTTACTAGTGATAAAATATATAATTTGATGATAGCGAAACATTTCACTGGAGGGCATCTGACATTTTGTCTGAAAATATTGGAGAGAACAAGGAAGAAGTCCATCCAAATACACCGTGTTCCAAATTATTATGCAAATTCTTTTTAAGTTTCACAAAGATTAAATATTTTGTTTTTCAGTTTAACTCATGGATGGCATTGTGTGTCAGGGCTCTTTTGATTACTGAAAACTATCTCGGACACCTGTGATAATTAGATTGGCCGCTGAGCCCAATTTAAGGAAAAACTACTAAAGGACTGTGTTCCACATTATTAAGCAGAGCACCATTTTCAAACAATGTGGGGAAGAAAAAGGATCTCTCTGCTGCTGAAAAGAGTTTCAAACAATATGGGGAAGAAAAAGGATCTCTCTGCTGCTGAAAAGAGTGAAATAGTTCAATGCCTTGGACGAGGTATGAAAACATTAAATATTTCAACTTAAGCGTGATCATCGCACTATTAAGAGATTTGTGGCTGATTCATAGCACAGACGGGTTCGTGCATATAAAGGCACATTGAGGAAGATTTCTGCCAGATCCATGCATCGGATCAAGACAGCAGCTGCTAAAATACCATTACATAGCAGCAAACAGATATTTGAAGCTGCTGGTGCCTCTGGAGTCCCACGGACATCAAGGTGTAGAGTTCTCCAGAGTCTTGCAACTGTGCATAAACCTTCTATTCGGCCACCAATAACCAATGCTCACAAGCAGAAACGGCTGCATTGGGCAGAAAAATACATGAAGACTAATTTTCAAACAATCCTGTTTCACTGATGAGTGCAGTGCAACCCTGGATGGTCCAGATGGATAGAGTAGTGGATGGCTGGTGGACGGCCACCCTGTTCCAACAAGGCTGCGACGTCAGCAAGGCGGTGGTGGAGTTATGTTTTGGGTCGGAATCATGGGAACAGAGCTGGTTGGCCCCTTTAGGGTCCACGAAGGTGTAAAGATGACCTCTGCAAAGTATGTGGAGTTTATGACTGACCACTTTCTTTCCTGGTACAGAAGGAAGAACTATGCTTTCTGTAATAAAATCATCTTCATGCATAACAATGCACCATCTCATGTTGCAAAGAATACCTCTGCATCAATGGCTGTTATGGGGATAAAAGGAGAGAAAGTCATGGTGTGGCCTCCATCCTCCCCTGACCTCAATCCTATTGAGAAGCTTTGGAGCATCCTCAAGCAAAAGCTCTATGAGGGTGGGAGGCAGTTTACATCCAAACAGCAGCTCTGGGAGGCTATTCTGACATCTTGCAAACAAATTCAAGCAGAAACTGTCCAAAAACTCACAAGTTCAATGGATGCAAGACTTGTGAAGCTGCTATCAAATAAGGGGCCCTATGTTAAAATGTAACGTGACCTGTTAAAATGTTTAAAAAGTTAAAATGTTGTTAAAAGTTTGATTGAAATAGCTTTTGATTTCAGTAAATATGCTGCAAACACAACAAATGACAATTTTCAGTTCTTTACAACCTATAAAGTGTTTTGAAACTTACTGTGCGTAATAATTTGGAACAGTGCATTGTAAGTTTTTTATGTTTAAAAACAATACTGTTATTATTAGGAGGTTTGTTCAATAAAATTTGAATTGTACTCTTAATAGTTGATAACATGAAAATTATGCTGATTGTTATTTACATCAATTATTTAGGTAAATTAGAAAAATATCATTTGCATAATAATTTGGAACACAGTGTAGTCTGCATTACGCAAAAAACCCTTATTGATCCACCATTGAAACACAGATGGTGTTAGACCGGGTGTAAACTCAGGGTTACAAAAAACTGGGCCTAGAGGGGTATATAGGGAAAATAAAGGCTTGCGGGCCCCACACCATCTATCCCAGACCGTTAAAGAGTAGGACAACTTAGGGCAAAGGATGGGAGGACGCAACCGACTGGGAAGCCACATAAGGGAGCCAACAGCATATGGACGGCAAGATAGGGCCTCAATGCCAACCCACTGAGGTACATAGCCCCTAGCAGTAGTACAGGAGAGCTGTGCTATCTGAGCCACATGAAAATAAGTCATAAGATTAGGAAGTCCCAAACCGCCATGTTTTTTTAGGGAAAATGAAGTCGAATTATTGACCCGAGGATGTTTACCTCTCCATATAAATCTAGAAGCTGTTGATTGTAAGAGTAAGATTTTCCGTCTGGGTACCATGATCGGAAAGTCCGAAAATAATATAATAGTCTTGGCAGAAAAGTCATTTTAATGGAATTAATTCTACCAAACCAGGATAAGAGAAGATCCGCCCAGTCATGTAAGTCAGTCTTAAGTCGTTTAAAAAGAGGGGGGTAGTTAGTATTATATAGTGATGAGATAGAGCTCATGAGATGAATCCCTAAATAGGGGAGAGAAAGGGGGGCCCACTGAAAATCAAAGTTGTCCCGAAGATATTGGACCTCTGAATTAGGTAAAAAAATATTTAAAGCAATTGTTTTAGAGGAATTAAGAGTAAGACCCGAGGCCATAGAAAATATTTTAAGACTAAAATAAATGGAGGAGACTAGGTAGAGATGTTTGAAGAGCAGATATATACATAAGGACATCGTCAGCAAATAAGGCACATTTATGATCTCGTTGGCCAAAATAGATACCAGAAATAGTAGGGTCAGAACAGATAGCAAAAGCAAGTAGTTCCATTGCCAATGCAAAAAGTAGAGGGGAAAGGGGGCAGCCCTGCCTAGTACCTCTCGATAGATAGAGGGACTGATTTGTATCCACAAATAGAAAACTGAGCTGAAGGATTATAATATAGAGCCCCCACTAAAGTCAAAAAGGAGGGGCCAAACCCAAACGCACCCAACATCTAAAATAGATAGCCCCAAGATAAGCTGTCGAATGCTTTATGGAGATTTGATCCAGTGTTTGTCGACCGCTAATAAATCCTGATTGATCATCATGAATATAAAGCGCTAAAAATATATGAAGGCATAGTGCCAAAACTTTAGTAAGGATCTTTAGATCACAATTCATTGAGGAAATAGGACAATAATTAGAGACTACAGTAGCATCTTTGTTGGGTTTAGAAATGACACTAATGAATGCTTTATTTTCATCGGAAGGTACCACTCCCCCATCTTGTAAATAATTAATATAGTGGGCCATATGTGGGATCAGGAGGTCTGGGAAAGCTTTATAATAGGCATGAGGAAGGCCTGGGGATTTATGAGGAGCAAGGTTTTTTAAGGCATTTCGAATTTCCTCGCAGGTTATAGGCTGTTCCATTAAGTATCTATGGGCCTCTTGAAGAGAAGGAAGAGTGACAGATCTCAGGAAACTTTTGGAAGATGAGGACATGTCCCCTTGAGGTGAATGGTACAGATCAGTATACAAAAGAGTGAAACTTTTGGAGAATCTTACTGGGATCTTGAGACAGAGTACCGGTATTTAGTCTGATTTCAGGGAGAGCCACGTGAGAATGTTTGGGAGAGAGCTTACGCGCTAATAAGGTGCCTGGCCTGTCTCTCCAAGGGAAAAATTTATGATTGGACATTCGTAACTGTTTGTCGGCTGTAGTGGTAAGGCATAGGTTAAGTTCTAACTGGGCTTTGTCAAGTTTAACTAATAAATCCGGATCAGGATTCTATTTATATTGAGTAACAAGGTCAGTTTATACTTGAGTGTTAGTTAAAATTAAGTCATTCCAAGCTTTTTTAAGTCGTGAGGAAAGTTGAATAAGAAACCCCTTGACCGAGGCCTTATGGGCCGCTCAATTAATAGCAGTAGTATCGTCTGCCTTCTTGATTTCAAATACAGTTTCAAATGTGTAGAAATATCCTGACAGTATGAAGCATTGCCCAAGATAGATTTGTTAAGGCGCAAATGAGGAGCAGTCCTCCCATGATGGATGCCAGCACATGAAGCAGCATAACCTCTGGGAAAAGCAGCAAATATTCACCCTCTTTCCCGCTGGGTCAGTTTATCTCAAGTGCCTTTTTCGTCTTTTATGTGAAGCGCCTTTAGAAAGAAATTGACAGAAATATTCACATTTGCTGGAAGGCATCTTAAGGTCTTATTGCCGAGTCCCTGAGATGATCTCCTGATATGAAAGCACACCAATCCTGGCGATAGAGGATATAAAGTGATTTCATGCTACTGTAAAGAAGCGCACTCCCCCTGGTGGTAGGAGACGGCAAGAGTGGTGCACTGGGGTTCCTGAGGGCTTTACGCTGAGGACCATTTGGCTGTGACCAGGAGTAGGTCATTATACTCCAATGCGCATTTACTTGCGCTATCTGGTTAGTGCATTTTACAGTTATCACGGAAGTCACGGATTTGCTTGGATACACCCTAAGACTTATGACTTCAACATCCCTATCACTATAGGCACTTTGATTGGTTGGATAGATCTTCATTACTTATCTGACCATTGTTTATATTAATTTATGAATGTGGGATCTGGTACATGTCAGAATATAAATGTTCAACTCTGCTATATATATGTTAATTCCCTGTATTAAATACTCAAGCGCTGCAATTTTTTGTATTTGACTAGTCCTCCCATGAGTCCAGGACGAGAGGTGTGGAAAGAATTTTAACTGTGAGCATTCTGGAAAGTGAGCGTGTATGAAGGAATATGTGATCAATGCAGGAATAGCAATTATGAGCCCTAGAGAAATGAGAATAATCTTGAGAAGTTGGTTTAGCTTCTCTCCAGGCATCGATGAGATCGTAACGAACTCGGGCAAACTTACGGATCTGTCTGGAAGGGGACTGAAGCATGCCGGTTCGGGATCGATCCAGTATCTGATCTAATGCTAAGTTAGAGTCACCAGCCAAAATAACATCGCCCTCAAGCTCTGAGGCCAAAGAGCTCAATAAAGAATGAAGAAATTCCACTGATTAGTATTTGGAGCATAGTATATTAAAAAAGTGAGTACGTTTTTGCCCAAGTGACCTTTCACCAGAAGATAGCGCCCCTCCTGTTCCCTAATAATTTTAGATTCAGTGAACGAAAAATGGAGGGATAAGCAAAGGGCAACCCCTCGTTTCTTCTCTGTGGCATTAGCAAAGTAACAAAGGGGATAGTCTTTATGGACATATCGTGGGGTAAAAGAAGGGGAAATAATATCCATCCCCACCATCAGGGGCCCTGGTGAACAAACAGACTGGGACTTAGACTCCGCGCTCTGGGGAATCCTATTCCGTGGGTTGCTAGAGGTACCGCCAGGCGGTGCATTACAGATGGTTGGAGCCGTTCTCCGATCAGCTCTATGGTCAATTCCCAGGTTTCTAGGTGGGACGGGATAACCTGAGAAAGCAGCGGGGGGGGGGGCATCCCCTCCCACTGCTTGTAAAAGCAATCCAGTGGCTAATTAACCACTACGATTGCTTTTACATGAAAGTTGACAGCTGGCTTGATACCAATCAAAGTCTAATGGTGTACCAGTATGACATTGTTCCTTGTTGGGCATATAGGTTGTTCTTTTTTTTATGCAGCCCGTGGGCTGAATATACTGCCCTGAATCCACCCACTTCTAATGCTGGGCATACATGAAATGTTCTTTTTTCATTCAGAGAAAAAGAACCTAACAGATTCTTCCATTCACGTCAATTGATGTAGAGGAAGAAATCTTTGCCAAACTTTTTAAAAAAAAATAAATTCCAAAGCATAGGAGCAATC